CAAACACAATCTCATATACACAGAGACACAACTCGGCCCTCTCTTCCGACCTCCGCATGGCACCACAAATAGAGCCGCCCAAGGCAACCAAAAGCAGACATCGATCCGTTCATCGCCCTAAAGTTCTCAACATCCGATAATCACTGCTGCTCGAAACCATCTCGGCAATGCCGCCGTATCCCCGATCCCCTATGTGCAACTCGTGGTCATTGCGCGAGTTTCATGGTCTCGACGATTACCTGTGCAGGCGGTGGCCTTTTCCATGAAAATTGAGGACAAGATCAACGAAGAAATTTTCCAAGAAGAGCAGAAAATCGACAAGATAATTGAGGATGAATAGACTCGTGTGGTGGTGGTGTGGTTGGGCTGGTGGCCAACGGGATTTGATGAGGCGGGGTGGTGGTTGTGGGGGTGACAATTGGTGGGATGCTGGCTAAGGCTGGCGGTAATGCGGCGACAGTTGTTGGAACGACGGCTGAGGCATGTAGATACGCGGTGATTGGTGGTGGTGTGGTGGGAGGAGGGGTGGCAGGTGTGGTGGTGGTGGTAAATGGAGAAACCCTAATTTAGATATAAGGGTGTTTTATTTAAAATTAGATAAGTTATAAGGACTTATCTGCAAATTTAAGAACTTTAACTTAAATGCAATTTAATTCGTAGGTCAAAATTGTAATATAAAAAGAAATTTATCAAGTTCACAATATTGTGCACAAATATGTACATTAAAAATACTCGTGCTGCAAAATGCACAATAGTGTTAAACTAAATGTACGCTTAGCGTAACAATTATTATGCGCATTGACCACGCGTGATAAACTAAAATATATATTAATATGATATTATGCATTTTCACAGGTATCAATATGAATTTAATTTGTCGATGTTGTGCATCCTGTACGCGAATAGGGATGTGCAAAGTTCGGCCAAAATCGAACAAATGATTGAAATCGATCGAAATAAATTTTTTGGTTAAGGATTTTATATGTCAGATCGGTTATCGGTTTTTAATTTTAAAGTTTTGATTATTTTGTTATGGATTTGACTTTATTTTTAGAATAACTGAAATAACCGAACTAACCAAACTGTATTATAAAATATTATTTTTTATATTATATAAATATATTATTTATTTCCAGCCAAATATAATATAAAATATTAAATTAAAATATTTAATATACTAAATATTTTTTTATAATATAAAATAATATTTTATTGCAGTTATTTGTCAATTTGGTTAACGATAAACTATACAGACTATTTCGGGTCGATTTTATTTTGAGTTGGGACAAAAGTTTGGATGGTTTGATTTTTCAAAAGTTTGACTTGGTTATTTCGGTCGGTCGGTTCGGTCAATGAACAACCATAAGAGCGGTGGCAATTTGGTTGAATTGAGAACTTTAAATGTGTAGGCGGTCGCAATTCTATAATTTCGTAAAAATACTACGTGGCTTTTTAATGTGCATGTCCTTGGGCAATATTGTGCATCTTATGTATCCTTATTGTGCATGTATTGATATTTCGTTAAATTATAGATATTCTTCAAGTACTAAAGTGCAAATATATTAAAAATAAAAAATTGTATATGAGTACCCTGAACCTATCTAATTTTCAATAAAGTACCATCCCCAAAAAAATCCGTCCTCCCGTAACAGACGATTCAACACCGACTCTCCATTGTCGATATGGAGACTGTCGCTGTGAAGGCTAGCTTGGAGATCGACCAGATCAACCTCACAAATTGCCGGGCGTCTGGCGATGCCTGGTACTCCGACGAGTATAGTGATTGAATCGATCTACTGGCGGCGGCTCTGCAAAGCTCATTCTCGGGCTATTTCTAGGCGGAGGTCCTGGAGTCTCCCGCGACCATCTCGACAGCGCTTGGTAGACTGGAGGAGGGTTTCGCGGCCCCGGCCCCAAAGCGATAGCCTTCCACCTAGCGGCAGTGCGTCAAAGCGAAAATCACACGGGTTAAGGCGATCTGCGATGATGACGTTCATCGTGGTGAATATGGAGAATTTCAGGCAAATGTTGCAGCAAGTGACTGGCATGAAGCTTGGTTTGGGTGGAGCGGTAGATCTGGCTTTCCGACGCTCGACACGTCAGTTTTTCCGTCGGAGTCTCATGTGTCGCAGTCGTCTCTGGTGGCGGCAGGCTGTAATTTTTGTGTGTGTTGAGTGTAGGCGTGCCTGAAGTGTGTGTGTGAGAGAGAGATATGTTAGGGTTGGTGGGTTGTGGTGGGGCCCACTAAGTGAGTTGTAATTGTTCTAAACACCAATTTACCTTAATGAGTGTCAAATGTATATATTTTACCACAATCCGTACATTTATTTACGATATTGTCATCGCATATTTGATCATTGTTTACTACATTTTAACTTCATCATGACCATTGATATGATGGATCCAATGGTACACAATTATTCTTGTTTCTTTCATTATGTTTCATTCTCATTTGAACTCACAATCCTTTTTGTCACAATTCTATGTTTTGGATTATTATATAATTTGGCTCTAGTGTTATGTCAAATGTCAATCAGGCATGGTTATTACCATAATATAATATATAATATTCTTTTTTAAATCTGTTAACCACCGACTTGGTAATTCGAATATAACTCCGAATAAAGATGGGTTACAAATAGTATAATAGCAATGCCTACGGTTTAAGATAACGATGACACGCGTCTGATGGCCTCAAGAACTCTTGTTCTATGAACATGACACGAAACCTCGAAATTACGCCTCCCCACCGATGTGGCGAACTGACGGAACCCACTTGCCTTCACCAACGTCACGCTCCTACCGACTTCCTATGCTTCTCCGACATGGCCGACTTCTCAAAATCCCACCATTGTCTACCGACACCATAACCCACTTCAACCCACCTCGGTGGTAACCGAGTTCACCATTATCCAAGAAGGTGACAAGACGCCTACACGACTGTTTGTTCCATTTTTTTTTTTGTTATTTTCGCTAGTATTTTGTCGATTTTCTCCCTAGTTTAGGTCGTTTCTTAGGTACTTTCCGGTCCCTTTAGTTGTTTCTTGTATTTTCATAGTTATTTTGGTGTGTTTGTTATTTTTGTTATTTTTCTTCCTATTTCTCTTGCTTTTCGTGTTTTTCCGGTTGTGGTAACTACAGGCTTTTGACGGCTTCGTTCTGGTCCCTAGGAGTTCCGTGCTGTTTTATCCGTTGAAGACGCTCGTGAGTCGAATTTCCAGCCCGGGCAGTACCCGGGAATCATTAACCGAGGGCACGCGGAGCAAGAACATCAAAAATCACCAAAATGGAGCCGGACCAGACCCTAGCGCCGCTAGCTACCCTTAGCGCCGCTATGGGTAGCCTGCTAGCG